AGTACTATCTCAGCAAACAGCATTGAAGTCCTCTAGATCGCAAGACATGAAGAGTGAGGAGCCTGGACAAAATATGAATGATATTTGCAAGTTGAGGTCGAGAATGCCCAGAAGATGCATAGACACATATGGCTTCATATGATATGAAAGCAAAAAAAGGTAGAAAAGGGAAGATGAGGACTCCCTCCTTGGTTAAACATTAGTGAACCAGCACCTCTCTGGACAAGTTTAGGTGTCTAAGCTTGAGTTAAGGAGACAGCATTGTACTCTCTCGAAGCTAGTTTGGAATAGCGTGTTAGTGTGTACTCGCGCCTTGTGTTGACGTTGTAATTACGAAGAAAGATGGCCACAGAGAGAACCCAGAGGGTGTTTTTTAGGTATATAAGTTTTGAGGATGGAGGAGCAAGAGTATTGAGTGCCGTATTTAGGAGTTAATTGTCAAGATGGCTTTATCAGAATTATGGGTGATATCTCCTGGTATATTTTTGCCTTTCAAGTCTCTAACCTAAACAAGGAGGGGAGAGGTGATATATAAGCGAGAGAGGGATTTAGATACAAGCTAGTAAGGAAAAGGGTCAAAGGGGTTCAAGGGGGTGCAAGGCTTCTAAGAAGCATAAACAGCTGGCCCAAGCTTCTCCAGAAGCTTGGCAAGGGTTCAAGCTTCGTAGAAGGTTAAGGGTCAAAGACTCACAAGCGTGCAAAACAAAAGCACATGCACGCTGGGAATCAAATTCTGATGATTCCAGCTGGCAGCTGGAACCACTCAATCTGCAGAAATGCTCCGGTAAGGGAGTCGGAGTCGGCTACACAAAAATTGACCCGGTTCAGCACAAAAAATGTGCGGTCGGCACAATAAATGGTCCGGTCGGGCACAATAAATTTGCCCGGCGGACAAACAGGTGCCAGATGGGTGGCCGGTGAGAGGTCAAAAAAGTGCGGTGGATGTCCATGATTGAAGCCCTGGAAAGTTAGCTTTTCCATGGCGGCAAACCTTGCATTTAAATTCCTTCTGTGCAAAAGTACTATCCCTTTTTCCGTGTAAAGCCGCGCAGATTCGATCCGAACCGGGATGCCGACTTCAACTGATCATTCTTCTCCCACCCGGACTTGGCTCTAGTGGAGATTTTGAGTTGAAAAATGAGCCCGGAGTAAGCTTCCGACGGTGGTGGCCCTAGCTAAACTCCAATGTACAGATAGATAAAGCCCGATTCGCGAGGTGAAAACGGACTAATGCTCGACTTATTCCTACCCGGATTTCATGCGAACTTTTTTCCCAGACCAGCTCTTTTCTCTCATCCTTTTCTTTCTTCAACTCAACCCCTAAAACAGTGTTTTGAAGGATTTCCTCTTCTTGGCCAAAAGAAATGATATCATTTGCCCTGCACAAATCCCTTCAAAACCGAGCATAAATAACCTATCTCGCAAATAGCTCAATGAGTGCCCTCAAAAGTAATACTGTATAAGGGCAGTCAAAAATGGAGGATTATCTTACAGTTGCCTCTCATTTTGAACAACTGAAAGTCTAAACAATGACGCGAGATATAACATAACGTGAGAAATGCTCACAAGTCCCTTACAGACAGGACAACCATTCTTATGACGCGAAAGGGGATACCGAAAGACTTGGAAAAAACCAAATACTGATAAAATAATCATTGGTTTTGTGGCTACAAGGTGAAACTGCATACGTATCCCTATTGAGAAGAAATCAAAACCATGAGAAGACACGAAATAAATAGATTCCAGAGAGATAAAATAAAAGGCGGCGATGATGCAATAAGGATATTTTTGCGCAAGGAAGAACTTTTTATTTGAAATACGTAGGAACTTATACGGCCACGCGAGAGCCGGTCTTACATTGGAGTTCATATGCTCCGCTCGCAAAGGTTGACCAAGGTAATTGAATTCTAAACAATGCAAAGGTGGCAAGTTGCCGTGGAAAACCAACTGCAAAGTGAAGAGGTAGGTGCGATGCAAGATGCGAAGTCCTATAAGATGGAATTCTAACACACTTGAAATTGATTGGTGGTGAATGGGACAGGGAATAGTAGGAGTATCCCGGTGTTTCGGGCCATGTGTAAGGCATTGGAAGTATTTGTAGAGCAGACTAGACACGCATTAATTAATCGAATAGATCAGGAGAAAATCGAGGGCGAGCATAATCCCAAGGTTTATTAGGATTGTATCCAAATTTTTTAGGGACGTATCCCAAAGGTTAGGGACGTATCCCCAAAGATGTTTGTTGGACGGTATCCAAGATTAGGGACACCGATATAAAATATACCTAAAGACTGAAATTAGGACGTTATTCCACATAAAGGTTGAGGGACGCTGATCCCAAAGATTAGGGAGACTATCCCGCATATAGGTTAGGGATCGTGTATCCCAAAGATGAGGAGGAGGCTCGTGTATCCCAAAGGATGAGGACGACCATTGTAGGAAAACTTAGCTCCTGAAGGAATCTAGGAACATTGCTCCGCCAAGGATCAGTTTAATTAGGGACTGTATCCCATAATGCCATTGTTAGGGATCGTATCCCAGGATTTAAGGGGACCGATGTATCCCATGTAGGGATAGAGTGAACCCTAAACCGGAATCATGTTATCCCAACCGGATTAACAAGGATTTAAAGGTCATGTCGGACCGTAATCCCTAAGGTTAGTGAGGACGGCTTATCCCCAAGGAATACTGGTAGGAGTCATTGTGTGGGACAGTATCCCTTACCAAAAGATTAGGGAGGGGTCATGCTGGATCGTGTAGAGAATATCTCGAGAAATTGATTGAGGACAGACCATACATCACGATGGACAAGTTACGGAGACGCTAATCCTCTCAAGAACTTTAGGTAACCTGGATCAGTTCCCAAAGATTAGGGAACGTATCCAAGGGTTAGGGACGTGGTATTGAACTATCATAAAGATTAGGGGCAAGACTGATCCCCAAAGGTTAGGACGTTGAGTCCTCCCGAAAGATTAGGGCCCGAGGTAGTCCGCATATGGATTAGGAGGTTGCTGCACCAAAGGAGAGCGGCTTGGGTTTATCCCGCATTAGCGCTTTAGAGGACGGGGCGGCTGATTGTGCGCAGATATCCCAAGGATTAGCGGAGCGTATCCCCCCTAAAGGTGTGAGGGATCTGATGCGTTCTCCCGAAAGTTGAGGGAACGGTAGCTATCTGCCAGAGGGATTCTCGACTATGTGATGTGTAATGAACACATAAGGAAGCCGGGTAGTCGTCTGGGGATGTTTCAGTGGATGACAGGCCAGAAAAGAAAGAGAGCGTGCTTAGGAGTTGTGTGCCAATAAGTCCGCCGGCGATGGCGTTTTCCGAGGTGAAAAGGAACGGCCAGAGAACATACCCCAAGGACGCTATCACGCTCGTGTGGCCGGCGGCATATAGAAGGGATGATAAGCCGCACCAATAAGGGAAGACCTTGGTGGTTGCTTGGATTGCTGTGTCTGCCAAATCGGCCCAGGGATACTAGGAAAAGGGGAGAGGGCGTAGTGGCTGTGTTGCATGGACGTATTCCCGGTGTTTCGGAAAGAGAGAGAAACGTAGGGACGTATCCCCGGTGTTTCCGGAAAGAGAGAGAAACGTAGGGAGATCCCCGGATGTTTCCGGAAGAAGGTAGGTTACCACATAGGAGCAGATGTCTATACCGCAGAGTGTTAGTCGTAAACAAGGAGAAGACAACCAATAAGGGACGGATGCCGGCTTTGTGGTTTGCATGGTGTATAACCATGTGTGTTCCCGCGGAAAGCAGCAGGGAAATAGACGTTTATATAGGGGACGTATAATTTACCCCCCTTAACTCAAATATCTTTCGGAGGATATGTATGATACCCAGAAAAGAAAGGTGATAAATCAATATGGGAACGGGTTGATCATGACGGGAAGACTAAGTGGAGCAGAAGCAACATGAGTATTAAAAATATTCGGAAAAAGGTAGAGTGAAAGAAATGATTTTGTAAGCCGGAATGGTTAAAGCACGTAAACCAGTAGGACAAATGAAGAGATCACTACAAAGCGATATTTGACATGGATTTACCGGAAAAAATAAAATTAGGAGAGAAACAGTGCGAATAGGTTTAGAAGAGGGCTATCCCGGGATGTTTCGGCCGGAAGACGGACCAAAACATAGGGACGATAGTCCACCGGTGCCGCGCCTTTGATAAGTCTGTCGGGAAAAAATACGAACGAAGAAGCGATTAAACCCATAAGGACGTATAAGCTCTGATACCATTATCTCACCAGAGTTTAATAGTAGAGACCCGAGAGAGAATGAGAAATGAAAAGAGTGATGGCTATAGTGTATAATGACGAATTGATACCCATGAATATTGTATTGATGGTGATTGTAGTCGTATTATTAACACGATTAAGAATGGCAATGGAGAGTAGTGTAATAAACTAAGGTGCAAGTTGAGAAAGTGAAGCGTGACAACGACAGTGTATAAAGGTGCATGGACACCTAGCAAATGTTAAAATGAGGACATCTATAAGGACTCATTTGTCGTACTGAAATAGAATATGTTGCAAATTATTACGATAAAAGATGAAGTATACAAACTAATGCTAGTGACCAGTGGTACGAATGCTAAGCCAAAGCCCATTGGATACAAGCGATATGCAAATGTGCCAAGAATTGATCTTGCCGCCTGAAGGTTAGCATGGTACACTATAAATTATTTCTGGAGAAATTTAAAAAAGCGACCACTAAGGCATTGACAAGGCCCTGAAAGAAGTGTCAGTCCATCCGTGCAAAGTACAATCAACGATATAATATCTTTCTGTAACGTGACACCCATCCCCAGAGGATACTTACAATTTTCCAGAATTTTCGCTCTTTTGTCTTCCTTAGCTTATGCCCAGTACACTCGGCAATTCTCATCGGAACATATCTAGCTCTCAGATAGGTCC